TACATGTTACAGTGTAACATTAAATTTTAATATTGAAAGTCATGTAGGGATGATATATCATCACTATATTATTGTTTGCATTCTTTTTGCACTGCCATCCCTACATTATTTTACATTTATAAAATGTTTTTATTGCTTGTTTTATGACGTTTTTCCCCTCTGACTGAAAGTTAGTGTATTCTATGAATGTATAATATAATTTAATATTTTGTGTATTGATTTTGTTTTTTACTCTTTCACTTCATACAAAATATAGGGGTTGGCTCCATATAGACACCCATTGTATGGTGTACAAAGCATTGAGTGTGTCAGCTAATGTTCATCTATTATAATTATTGGTTCTTAATTCCTGTTTTTCCCTGTACGTAAGCTTTTCTGGGAACATCAAATTTCTGTAAAAAAACTAACTTAAGGGGGCAATGATAACATCGTTCACACCAGTTTTATGATTTATTTTTAATTACTACTAGTTATTACAACTGAGTGATAACATCATGCACTGTACATAAACACATAGAGTGTATTTAGGTTTAAATCGATGTTAGTGATAAAGTAGTTGTAGAGTTATCTAGACTGAGACAACAAGAAAGATGAACAATTTAATGGGTTGGTATCTTAGCGATGGTTTGTAGCCTTGTTATTAGGCTTGTTTGGTAGAGTAACGAATGAAAGTTAGTGGTAATCATCTTTTAAAGTAAAACTCTCTGTCGTTGTGGATTATTAGTGTATATATTTGTATTATGCCTAATGAGTACCCTACATATAGAGTCTATATAAACTCTATGATCATATACACTCCGACATTTCCAAATTATATGCTTATATCATGTGTATTTTCTTAGTATTCTCCTATAAACTCTATGATGATACACACTCCGACATTTCCAAATTATATGCTTATATCATGTGTATTTTCTTAGTATTCTCCTGTGTCGGTGTATGTAGAGAATACCACCTGTGTGTTCTTAAGGCTTAATATTATTACCGTTGTGCACTTCTAGAAAATACTTCGTACATTTGACACTACTGAAAGATTTTTATAGCAGTATACATGTCCAGACATCATTACCAGTATTAATCATTGAAGGTCATTAGTTTCATCTTCTGTCTAATTTTCATCCACAAAAACACAGGAACAAGTTTAAAAAAAACACAGAAAAACAAACGTCGTTGTTTTGACCCATAGAGCCCAGAAAGTAACTTCAATACTGACGTTATTTCTAGTGTTGGTCATGCGATAAGTCATGACATTAAGTAAACTATCAGAAATTACTATGATGCTGAAACAGCTATGACGTTGCGGTGGTAACAAAGTAATGTCTGTGTGCACGCGCTCATGGAAGAATGCGTAGTATATATTTGCTTGTTGGTTCTTCCAATCACTGGGGAGAGAAATGTTAACTCACTTCCATACGATGCTTGATTAATCGAGACACGTCCCCTATTTACTGTCATC